GAAAACAATATATATATACCTACAAAAACAGTTTCCTCTTATTCCTCACCTAATTTTCTTCAAGTGACTTTGATCTTTTATTTTTAATTGTATTTATTAACTAAATAATAGGAAGGTTAAGCTTCACGTTTTAATGAGAAATTGTACGTGAATGTAGAATGTGTATAGAATTATGGTCCTCTTGGGGATTAAGTTTCCCCTTTATAGCACAACTTATTTGCCTGATCAAGTACAAAAGAAAGGAAAATAGCCTAGTTGTAATTAGCTCCGCGAATAAAACAATTGAGAGGAATATAAATCCTTAGGGTCAATATATGTTACGTTCACAAATATGTTCTCTTAAAAACGTGTAGCTTAACCTCTCTAATGTTGTTGGTCAAGTAGAGTACAAGTAAGTCCTGGAGGCCACAATACATTAGGAGCGTATATTAGCAGTATTAAGACATTAGAGATGTTTTGGTCACTAAATTATAGCATGTTAATTATTCCCGTCAAGGAGGATTGCCCTAGAGCAATTGGAAACATAAAAGCTGTTAGAAGAATTACCCGTGCATAATCTATTCCAAAATACTTCCAACATGGATTTACACCTCAACCCAAATTTAGAAATCTGTTTACCTCACCGAGCTGGATGTATAATGGCACTCGTGTTTGAAATTTCCATTCTAAGCCAGTGAAATCAATAAAATCGACTAGACTTTCATTTCTGATTTTTATCCCAAATTACAAAATGTCAACCATGTTTGATGACACAATTGATAAACTTTTGAGAGCCGCCACTCGCGTATTATCCAATTGTTGCCATTTATGTCAGGATTGGAGAAAAATATTTCAATGTAGAAAATTGTTTTTGCTTACTTTATTTGAAAGTTATTATTTCATTCTTTTTTATTTATTTTTTTTATTTGAAGTTATAGATTTTTTCAAAGGCCAAAATTTAAAAAAACTAGAAAAACAGCAACTCCACGGAGTAGCAAATCCCAACGAACAAAAGATGTTTTGTGTTAGTGGTCATCTTGAATATTATTTCTTGAGCAGAGCTTGCATCAACATATAAAATGTAAACCATATCCGTCAATTAGCATTTGGGTTATCAAAGAGTAAATTTTTTTACTCAAAATGGCCGCCATTGTGAAATTCATGAGACCATTTTGATATTCAACAGCCATCTTGAAAATCTCTTCTTGATCAATGCTGCTTTTTGCCTTGGCAATAGCACATAAAATTTAAACAGAATTTGTTCACTGGTATTTGAGTTATCAAAGATTATGAAAAATGGCTGCCGTTTTTAAATTCAGAGGCCATCTTGGAAATTCTTTCTTGGACAATGCTCCTTTGCCCCTAAGCACAAGCATATAAAATTTGAACAAAATCTGTATTTGAGGTATCATATCAAAGAGGACATATTTTAGGAAAAATGGCCGCCATGTTCATATAAAGCGGCGATCTTTAAAATCCCTTCATGAGCAAAACTCCTTTGCCCCTAGGTACAATCATATAAGATTTGAACCAAATCCGTACACTAGTATTCGAGTTATCAAAGATTGCATTTTTAGAAAAAATGGCGGCCATTTTGAATTGAGTGGCCATATTGAAAAAAGTTTCTCGATCAGAGGTCCTACACCCATTAGGAATAAGCCTATAAAATTTGAATGAAATCAGTCAACCGGTATTTGAGTTATTGCCCGGATACACGAACGGACGGACGGCTTTTCTGTATCCCCCTCGAACTTCGTTCGGTGGGATAATTACTCTAACTGATTGCGAGGCAAAATATGAATTTCAAAATCGACGTTGGAATCGCTGCAACTTTTTATTTCACATACAATCTGAAAACGTTAAAAGTACAAATCTTACATAGCAATTCAATTCCCTGTATGAAAATGTTTTTGCTTAATGACGGATGAAAAGATGGCATGACATTTCATTTGCGGTAACTCCACTTTATAGTGGAATAACAGGTAGACGGCGATTACTAAAAGGAAATCAAGTGTGTCGTCAAAGTAAGACATTTTGTAAGAGAGAAACTTTGAATATTGATTCAAATTCAACATTTTACAATTAAACATGAAATGGAACTTTTTTCGATATCTGTTTTATTCGTCATAATAGTTTTCAACATGTTAAAAGGAAGTAAAGATTCCTGATTGTATTTGTACTTTACAAATGTAATTGAAATAATGAGTAAACACCAGTTTCTTGTTTTTAATTTAACGAACTTATTAGAAAATTGTTTCGAGGGCTACCAGTTGCTTATTTCAGCTTATTTCAGCATTCACACAAACCTACTGTAAGCATTCCTATATAAATGTCAGGCCAATCAAAACGCAGTTAAGCAATGCTATATTTTACAACAGAGCATGATTAATAAGGTAAAACTGTTATAGGGGAATACGACCATGTGTGAAGAATATATAAATAATAAAAACATTACTGAAAAGTGCTTATGCACGTGTATATAAATTAAACAAATGCCTGAACTTAACTCCTAGATTTTACATTTGCAAAAATGTTTCAGGTTGAATTTCAATCACAAGTATTTTAATGTTTTTAAAAAAATTCTTTGCTATGTCTGAGAAGAATTTTAACACAAAACTCATAAATTTTGTATGATTTCATATCAGTCTTAGTTTAAGGCTCACATACAATAACCTAATTCATTAAATCAGGCATCAAACCATTACCCCAAGGACCTGGACTGTTCATTGTTTTACATTGGCTTTACATCAGTAATTTTGAAATAAAATACCCATTATACATACAGGTTGCACACTTGAATATATAACAGAATACAAAGTGACATGCTGACATGCTATAAAACGTCAAATAGTGATTCCTTTCAGAACACAATGACTGTATATATGTGTACGAGGGGTGATCAATAAGTAATGGACACGTGACTCAAACATTTAGTTTGTATACTTTCATAAAAATATTGTGCAACGTTATCACAAAGTCTGTATTTTTAGACTGTAAATCTCATAAAAATTGGATATTTTCACTGTAACGACTTAACCTTAAACTTCATGGTTTAATACCTTCATAAAGGCTGCCCAATTTCATTACAAAGACTACATTTCCATTGTAGACTGTAAACTTTAAACTTAAAAGTTTAATTCCTTCACAAAGATTGCCCAATCTCATTACAAAGACTACATTTCTATTCCATTGTAGACTGTAAACTTTAAACTTGATGGTTGATTACCTTCACAAAGGTTGCCCAATGGCAATACAAAGACTACATTTCCGTTGTAGACTGTAAACTTTAAACTTAAAAGTTGAATGCCATCATAAAGGCTGCGCAATATCATAACAAAGACTACATTTCCATTGTAGACTGTAAACTTTAAACGTAAAGGTTGATTACCTTCACAAAGGTTGTACATTGTCATTACAAAGAGCCTCTCCTCCTTTTACTGTCTGTTAACGATGACTTAATGCCTCCACAATATGGGCAGAATTAAACATTAAACTGTCATCAATAAATACAATTATAACATACCTATGATGATGTATAGTGCAAAGTGTACACAAGACAGCGGGCCAATATAAGTTTTGAAAAGCCCGCGCCCGCTAACTTTCTGATTGGTCAAGGCGCTGACGTCATAACCAATCAATCGAAGATAAAACTGCGCGAGCAATTTTTCTAAACTCATTTCAATCATTTTCAAACCATTTGTTTGTCAATTCTATAAGAAAACGATACTCTCTGACCAGTCTACATCATCATAGGTGATGTTATAAATCGTTTATGTCACTATCGTGGCACATATGCCCTCGGTTCTCAGAGAGCAATGTCCCTCCCAAGGTCGGGCCATATATCACTGAGACCTCGGGCATATATGCCACGATAGTGACATAACCTCTAAATCTCCCCTTTTAGTACAGTATTCGTATAATAAGAATTATAGTTTGCTGTAATACATGGACATTATTCTGCTATAATACATGGACTTTACTATAACTCTTTACTAACTTTACTTTACTCTTTATAATACAGGGTGTTAAAAAAAAAACGCAACCCAAAGAAATGGCTATATCTTGAAAAATACTGGTTCAATTACGTTCATATTTTCAGGAAATAAAGAAGAGACTGTGTATGTATAGTTCCTGTAAATGGCTAGTTGGAAAACATGATGCCTTGGACACCTGCTCAAAAGACAGTTGTACAAGGAAAATACGAAAAACGCAGTCAGGGGTGACTGCAACCTCAAAAAAAAAAAAAACTTTCTAACCATAGTGTTTTGGCTCTTCAAATTTGGCACGAATCATCTTCATTCACTGTAATAATTTAATTTGTGCCAAATCTGAAGTGCCAAAACACCATGGTTAGAAAGTTATATGGTTTTATTGCTGTGGCAGTCACCTTTGACTGCGTTTTCATATTTTCCTAGAACAACTGCCATTTGAGCAGGTGTCCAAGGCATCATGTTTAACAACTTACTGACAACAGGAGCTATACATACACAGTCTCTTCTTTCTTTTCATAAAAAAATGATCATAATTGAATTAGTATTTTCCAAGATACAGTGATTTTCCATTCGCGTTTTTCGTATTTTGCTAGGACAACTGTCTTTTGAGCAAGTGTCCAAGACATCATGTTTTACAACTAACTAACAACAGGGGCTATACATACACAGTCTCTTCTTTCTTTCCTGTATTTTGCTACAACAAAGATTGCAGCTTGCTATCACAAGTACTGTAGTCTGTCATTGACTGTAGTCTGCTATAATACTACAATGCATGATCTGGAATTTGCCATAACTCAGACTTTAGTTATAACAAGGACTGTATTTTGCTACAACAAAGATTGCAGCTTGCTATCACAACAACTGTAGTCTGTCATGGACTGTAGTCTGCTATAATACTACAATGCATGATCTGAAATTTGCCATAGTTATAACAAGGACTGTATTTTGCTACAACAAAGATTGCAGCTTGCTATGACCAGAACTGTAGCCTGCTACAACAAGGACTATATAGTTTATGACAGTATTCTGCTATAATAATGACTGCTCCACTAAAATTTCAGTGTATCCATCAGGTGGTGAGTGGTAGAAATTGTCGAAAAACACATCTAATATTGCACCTTCGTCCACTGAAAATATACACAATATTTTTTAAATACAATATATGGAGAGAATGACTCATGTCTTTTTCATGTTTTTTCACTCTATGATACACTTGAGTTGTCTAGTTACCCTTAGTCCTGAAGAGCATAGTTAAAATTTATTCTCTCTGAATAGGACAAACAACCATTGGTAAACCGTTTGACCCAATAATTATATTTTGGCCTTAAAGCATTACATTCGTGTTAAAAAGTTTGAAGCCACACTGGCAATGTTTGCTGTTCTGTAACTTACATGCTTTCAATAGCGTTTCAGCTTGATTGATTCTGCACCCATTTGCAAGTAATATTATACCTTTTGAGAAATTGATGAGAATAGCCTCAATCATGCAATAGTTGACTCAACATAAGAGCGAATAACTAGTTTTTGAAAGCCAGGGTTTCATTTTTATTTACAAAATCGTGTTTCGTGCCAAATTGTTTCAACCACACACGTCATGTCACGTGACGTTAAATTTCTGCTCTGAAAATGAAATCAGTTTTGCCACAAAAACAGACGTGCTATCCCCGATATCATGATAAAATGAACATTTGGAATGGTTGATGGTTCACCATTGTAAAGTTTGGCCTTGATACGGTAAGATAGCATAAATATATCTAAATCAAGTAAAATGGTTTGAGTACAACTTTAAGGTAAGATCAGTAAGGTAAGGTAAGAATTATCTATAGTTTAAACAGAATATATGAAGCTTAGATAGATTTAAAGAAACAACAAGGCATAAACATGCAAAATATGCCACCTGCCATTTGTCACAGACACCGAACACCAACAAACACCAACCCCCAAATGCTGACTACCAAACACCATCCACAAAAAGGAAAACTTTCATTATGATTCTGATTATGTGTTATTCTCAAAGCATTTCATTATACTCAAACTGAAAATATTTTCATGAGGATTCCGATTCTTCTCAATGTAATTCATCAATAATTTAAAGTATCTTTCGTTCTGTTTAAGAGTGAATTCATCGCAAATATGACTAAAAAATAATAATCAGGCCTAATATTTCTAAAAGTGATACAGCATATTAAAAAATGTTATATATTACCATAAACTATTGGATATACAGTTCCTTTAACCCCAGTGATAGGTGTATTCAGGGGTTTGCCATTCATGTAGAAGTTCATCTCTATATGATTAAAAGCGACACCCTGAAAAGAAAAGAAAAAAATATAAGAATTTATAATGCCATTTTTGAGTTCCTTCTCTAAATGATTAAAAGTGACACCCTGAAAAGAAAATAACGGTAAGAAAATGTATAGAATTGAAAATCACTTTTTTCAATATGACATTGTTTTGTTGATCATTGTTAATCGGTCAGTCAATGTTATGAACATAATGGAAAATTTAAGTCTGAGAAAAACACATTTTCACCTTCATGATACTTCTTTCTCTGAAAGAAACGGAAATTGCACTAACTGCAACTCTTTTCAGTATTTTCAATCAATAAAGGGATCATGGCCAGTTCGGCCACAATCTTAGTAAAATGTTGAATTTTTAAATGTACAGGTATTATCTCAGAGATCAGTTCAAAAACTTTTGCAACTTACTATTATGTCACCTTCCGAGGGGTGTTCTGGAAGTTTTGCTTTTTGTTCGTTATTGTGTGCTATTGAACCATTGTGTCTAAGTACCCAGCTTTCTGAGTTGGAACCAAGTGGTATTTCATTGACATTCACTTTTCTTGTCCCTAATCCTAGACCCCAGATTCCTACAAAGAAAAGAATGAATGCAGCCTTTAAAATCTATAGTAGAGGGTATCTGAAAAATGTTGCCAACTGATGCCATATTTCTCTAAAGGTGAACCAAGTGGTATTTCGTTTATGTTCACTTTCCTTGTTACTAATCCTAAATACAAGAAACCGTGCAAATCCAGTCTATCAAATATCTGTCTCCACTCCATGTGCTGTATTTTTGATTTTGATTTCATTTTTAGAACAGATGATCTTCCAAAGGATTTTAAACATTGTGTCAATGGGGATTAAGACCAACCTATTTTTTTAGAAAATAACACAGTGAATTATATATGCCATAGAATAGAAGAAATTGTTGGTCTTTAATGGCTGAAAATGCACATGTTATGTCCCCAAATCTCATTAAAAACGAGACTTCAACAAGATTTCAATTTTGTTTTAGCAAATCCTCAATTGAAAAACATCACAGTATACATTTTGTGATGATAGCATCATATATGATCGTATAAGTGAAAATACAAAAAATCATACTGAATTTGACTGCTTGACATTTAGCAAAACTGATGCAAATGTTGTCCTTTGTACGAGCATGAATCATACCTGTGGACTGTATTTTAACTTCAAAGTAGGCCTTGTCTTGCCTTTGTACGAGCATGAATCATACCTGTAGACTGTATTTTGACTTCGAAGTAGGCCTTGTCTTGCCTTTGCACGAGCATGAATCATACCTGTGGACTGTATTTTAACTTCAAAGTAGGCCTTGTCTTGCCTTTGTACGAGCATGAATCATACCTGTAGACTGTATTTTGACTTCAGATTAGGCCTTGTCTTGCCTTTGTACGAGCATGAATCATACCTGTGGACTGTATTTTAACTTCAAAGTAGGCCTTGTCTTGCCTTTGTACGAGCATGAATCATACCTGTAGACTGTATTTTGACTTCAAATTAGGCCTTGTCTTGCCTTTGTAAGAGCATGAATCATACCTGTGGACTGTATTTTAACTTCAAAGTAGGCCTTGTCTTGCCTTTGTACAAGCATGAATCATACCTGTGGACTGTATTTTAACTTCAAAGTAGGCCTTGTCTTGCCTTTGTACGAGCATGAATCATACCTGTGGACTGTATTTTGACTTCAAATTAGGCCTTGTCTTGCCTTTGTAAGAGCATGAATCATACCTGTGGACTGTATTTTAACTTCAAAGTAGGCCTTGTCTTGCCTTTGTACGAGCATGAATCATACCTGTGGACTGTATTTTAACTTCAAAGTAGGCCTTGTCTTGCCTTTGTACGAGCATGAATCATACCTGTAGACTGTATTTTGACTTCGAAGTAGGCCTTGTCTTGCCTTTGCACGAGCATGAATCATACCTGTGGACTGTATTTTAACTTCAAAGTAGGCCTTGTCTTGCCTTTGTACGAGCATGAATCATACCTGTAGACTGTATTTTGACTTCAGATTAGGCCTTGTCTTGCCTTTGTACGAGCATGAATCATACCTGTGGACTGTATTTTAACTTCAAAGTAGGCCTTGTCTTGCCTTTGTACGAGCATGAATCATACCTGTAGACTGTATTTACACTTCAAAGTAGGCCTTGTCTTGCCTTTGTACGAGCATGAATCATACCTGTAGACTGTATTTACACTTCAAAGTAGGCCTTGTCTTGCCTTTGTACGAGCATGAATCATACCTGTAGACTGTATTTTAACTTCAAAGTAGGCCTTGTCTTGCACAATAGGGGCATTAGCTAGAGTTGCTCCTGTTCCACATATCCTTCTTCCATTCTTTACTATGACAGCGTCCTGACCTTAAAATTAAAGATCATTATGAGAAATATTATTAAATAATTCTCTTTATAATATTCCATAATAACATGTTTTCCCAGGGAAAATAACAGGGAATAAAATTGATATTCAAAGAATCCCCTATCAGCCTTGATGGTTGTGATGGAATATGAATTTTTTCCTTGAGAAAATATGATATAGGCATCGGAAAATATCATATTGACACTCGGGCTATCGCCCTCGGTCAATATGATATTTTCCTTGGCCAATATCATATTTTCCTTCGGAATAAAATTCATATTCCATCCCTTCCATTAAATAACCTCTATATATGTATTATACAATGCAATGTTTGTATCAATGATCCAATATGTACAATGCAGTGATCTCCACAGGATATTTTCTCAAGTGGGTGCAAAATTCTCATTTTCACAATTCAGACCAAAATTGGTCATAATATGCCCATATATTTCATAATTTTTCTCATTTTCAATTGGGTGCAAATGGATTTTCAGGTGGGTGCAAGCCTATTTCCAAATCTCAGGTGGGTGCTGCACCCACTTGCTTTATGCTGGGGAGATCACTGAAATGTATATGAAATTAGAAATATATATAAATTACATAATTTAACATACAATAAGCTATAATACTGGAGAGCACTTTTCATGACGTAAAGATTTACCATTTACATGTGCATGCTTTAGCAGCCTGATTTCATTTGAATGTGGCAGATGGTGAAGTTTGACCACAGGTGAGGTACAATCTGCCTTTTTTTCAAAAAATGTTCATGGTTTCACTTAAATTACATATTTTCCACCTGCTGGGCTACTAATAATTACAGCTGATTACATATTATGGAGTTATATCTTAAAATGAGATTCAGCTCCCATTAAGTACCTACACTGATTCGTGGACACTAAAAATGAGGGAAAACAATTTGTTTTAACTTCATATAATTAAATAGCAGAATAATTCCAAAGCTAGAAGTCCAACCAACAAACCTTTAAACATACCATTATAAATTCAATTACCCTGCGTGCAGAGCCTAGTTAAACTACACTCTGCCTAGTAGAGACCATATTACAGTTTAGTAGTCCCACCCCCACATCGGGTACCAGTGACATTTTGGGTAGTAAATCACTTCTGACCTACGCTCTGACCTTTCTTCAACCAAATCAGCAAGCTTGAAGATACACGCCAAATGCGTTCTAATTAAATATGTGCATGTCATTGGTCAATTCCGGGCTCAACGATGACGTCAGAAGGAATGACCATATATAGAACGTCGGTCAAATTTGGCCGACGAACACTAGATCTCACTAGATCTTGATCCATGCGAGAAAAATGGCTAATTCACCCTCAGGCCTTGATTTGAAATTAGAGCAAAACAACTAGATGTCGAAGTAACCCCATATGTCGAAGTTAACCAAAATTGGTGTCAACGTTATACCCATTCACCCTAGCTTGGAGATCTAAAGTCTAATCTATAAATCTATCGGACAACAATAAAGATTCCAAATTTCTAGTTTTATGGGCTTAGCCTTTGGCAGATTATTGACATAGACAAAAGAAAGAACTAGGGGGAGCCTTAATTTGAATAAAAGCCTATTTATATACCCCAAAAACATAATTGTAAAGCCTAAATTAATGTAACTTGATGGTAACGAGCATTGATTTTTGACCAACTGAGAAAAATAATTTACAAACAGACCGGAAGTAAACTAAAAATAGCTAATTCAAGAGAACAAACCCGTTCATAGTTTATCTGACGACTCACCCATATGCTCTGTGTCTAGTTGCACTGTTGGAAGCTCTTTGAGGGGAACATGTCCAGAATTGAAGCCAGGGCCGTTTAATAAAGAGCTCCAGCGACCGAAACAGCAAAAACAAGCCGCCATTTTATGTTTTGGTATATCCCAATGACGTCACTAATTGGTATGGGAATTTCCTGATTATTGGGTGTTACTAAATACCACCTAGGTGTCCCCTTGGGCACCTGGATTTCTAATTCCATTTTAAACCATGTACATATTTTAAATATAGTATTATTTCCTTTGTCATATTGACTTGACATTGAATAGGCTTGAAATAATAATTTGTAGTCGAGAATATAGCAAAGAAGATTCAAAAATAAAATGTAAAAAGTTTTATTGTTATAAAATGGGCACCTGGAATTTTGCTCATATGTATGGTAGCTATGGTTACTTATTTGTAGTAATAAAACACCATTAATGCTAATGCTAAAGTATGCATTTATATTTGAAATATATATATTGTTCATACTTGTTGCTAAAATAGTGAATTTGTAGCATTTAAAATGCTAAAAAAATGCTAAAAAAATGCATTTAAAAATTCACTTTTATAGTGAGCAAATAATGAAATATTATTCTTACAAATTACTTTTTCAACATCGATCAAAATTTTCAAGATAGGCCTAATTAAAAAAAATATCATAAACAAACAGAAATATTTACACAAGTTCCGCGAAAATACTTTATTATGTACCATATTAACACCTGGAAAAATGTTATCTTGAAATAAAGTAGTAAAATATGCCAGTAAGGCATTTCAATGGGGACACCTAGGTGTAGGGCACCTAGGTGGTATTTAGCACAACCCTGATTATTTAAAGGTTGTATATAACTATCAAAGTGTTTTTGACACCTTTTCAAAGCCTTAATTCAGCATGTTGCCGTGTATGTATAATATGTTTCATTTCTTATACATTTAGAGTGGATATTCACCTTTCATTCCATATGAAGAAAATGCAAATTTATAAAATATTGACGGAGTGGGAGCTGTTACAATGACCCCTACTTTTAGCAATTTTCAGAACGTTTCGTCCAGTGTATTTAATGAGGGGCCCACCTTAAATCAAAAACATTGCCGTTTTTGGGCTTATTACTTGAAAGCATAATACCAGTCAATGGGTGAAAGCAGGGCAAACGCCTGCCTTTTTATCTCGAGTTATGGATTTACACTCCCCTCCATAAGTTTAGCAACCTTAGCTCCCCCATTGACCTACGTGTTAAAGCCTCTTTACGTTTGCATTTGTCGATTTTCAAAAATTCATCCAATTTTTCATCAATTTTCGACTTATTGTAATTGTGGAAAAAATGAGAAAATTTGGAGTTATTGGAAAGAAGTCAAATTACGTTCCCATCAATAGTATAAGTATTTTCATCGCAGGTTAAGTAAATAAAAATTCAAAGGTAAAGAGGCTTTAACACGAAGTTCAATGGGGGGGGGGGCAGAGGTTGCCAAACTTATGGAGGGGAGTGTATGTGGCCCTACTGGTATATCTGAAGTTCAAAAGCAATGTCTAAGCTAAATTTTGACACTAAACTCAATAGGGGCCAAACATCTATAAATAATTTGTCAATTGTGACACTTCCCCCTCTCTCTGACGACAGAAACTGAAATTCACAAAAAATGAAGGCAAAATTAATACGCCACTTGACTCGAAATTTTCCTTCAGATAATCCAAATAAACTCTTTTTCGGAAGAAATGGCATGTTAATATAATTGCAAAAAAAAGACAACTTACAGTCCCCTCCATAAGTTTGGCAACCTTTTCGCCCATTGAACTACGTGTTAAAGCCTCTTTATGTTTGAATTTTTATTTACTTAACCGGCGATGAAATAACTTATGATATTGATGGAATCGTAACTTGACTTTATTTTCAATACCTCCAATTTTTCTCAATTTTTTTCCTCAATTACAATAGGTCGAAAATTGATGATAACGTTGATGAATTTGTGAAAATCGTCATTCCCATGTAATCCAATGGGAAATGGAGGGTGTGGGGCAAATCAGAAATCAAGATATCTTTTCGGTAAAAGATTCAGCAAAAAAAATTTTATATAGAAAATTGAATTGTCTTACTTTTTTGAACACTAAGTGTTTAGTTTATTTGATGAATATTAAAGTTACAGCGCTTCAAAGTCATTTTTGAAAATAATTTTTCGCCTCCTGTGTTATTTCAATGGGAGAGGTTTTTTGAAAAACAATTTTGACTTTAAAAGCCCTATAACTTTGTTGAACCTGAAGAACATATCAATTTTTTGTTAAATAAAGTTAGCAAATTCAATTGCCTGCCTAACTCGTATTTTTCGCAAGGACTCGGATGTATGGATATTCTGTCATATGACTTGCGGCAAACCTACCATTTCTCATTGGTTAACATGGGAATGTCGATTTTCAAAAATTCATCAAATTTATCATCAATTTTCGACCTATTGTAATTGAGGAAAATTTGGAGGTATTGGAATTAAAGTCAAATTACGTTTTCATCAATAGTATAAGTATTTTCATCTCAGGTTAAGTAAACAAAAATTCAAAGGTGAAGAGGCTTTAACACGTTGTTCAATGAGGGGAAAAAGGTTGCCAAACTTATGGAGGGGAGCGTACCTACTATAATACTAGCTAATACTGACTCGTCTTTTTTCTATTCGGTGGAAGTGACGTACTAGGGCATTTTGGCCTATACGTTGGATGATATGGAGACGTTCATTGTGACATTTGTTTGGGGGATTCCTGACAACGGTCAAACACTTTTACTTTCATTATTAGAGCACTTTGACATTCAACTGGAAATCGAAAGTGCATTTACTAGATTTAGTTCATGAAAATGAATCAAATTGATGATATCCTCAAAAAGTAGTTTTTAACGTTTTCTAAGGCCTAGATAGTTATATACATCCTTTAAAGGATCATGCTCAACGCCTCTTCGCCAAATACTACAATTTAAAACATTCTAATTGTGGAAATGGTTTACAAATGTGTTTTTGATATTGAAATTTTATCTAAAAGTAAACTTGTTTGGAATCAAAATCGGTGACAGGGATTTGGCCTTGTTTGATAACAATGATGGCTGAATGACCCGAAATTAAAAGGTCCATTTTAGAGGGGGGGGGGTGATTCATGCGCCTTCAGTACAGGAGGGTACAAATTATACGATTAAATGAGGTTTAGCTCGGCCGCCAAAATGTATTGTGGACTCTTGAAGAAAGACCTTGACTAGTTAGGCCTACTTACAAACTGAATTATCATGAGTTTGATAACATACGGCAAGGATAGTCAAAATCTAGGTCACGGTAGTAAAGGTGTATGTCATACATATACAAGTGTAATCAAATAGCAAGCTAGCCTACTTTAATGTTGTAGCTGCTCATGTAGCAGGCGTTCGTTATTTAAGGCCACTTTAGTTCAAGCTGCATTACATCACAACAGTCGGGATCGTGCGTTCGTGTAACAACTGACGTCATAATGCCTCTACCCTCGGACCTTTCTCACCTCCACCCAGAGTCCCAAGCTCGTCTGAAACTCTTCGAAGAGTCGGGAGGAAAATATTATTTCGATATGGACACCATTGAAGGAGCCAGACAGTCAAGCTGGGAATCCATCCAGGCGACCACTTTGCCTCAACCATTTGATGGCTCAACCACGGAACACTTTGTGTCCCTGGAAGAGGTACCAAGTATGTAGTTTGCATTAGCCTATTTTAGCATAGCATGGAGCATAAAACAATGTAAAGCACTTAACTAATCATTGCATGAGGCGTCGTTGCATTGTAAAGCATCATGAAAGAAGCATAGCACCGGGGCATTGGAACGAATTATACGTAAGACAAAACTGTATGCAGCATATTGGTACTATATATTTTTCAAAATTCCAATGCCATTTAATTTGTCTGTTGTTCTTCACGGCCAACGTACGCGTATCCGTCCATCAGCTGTTATTGGTTTGGATAATGTTTGAAAATATTAAGTTTATCAGTAGTACTTTTATCAAAGCTCATCAATAATGGACAATCCTGCAATGGATGTCATACAAAAACATAATAGATGGCATTATCATGTAGTAACCATTATTCTATTTGTTTGTTAAAGGGACATATTCAACTTAATAGAATAAACATGAGCACGACAGCGAGAAAGAAAGAAATTGGGACTTTTTAAAAAAAACTATCAATTTTAAATAGATTAGAGTGGAGATTCTATAAGAGTTCCCTGAAATTCTTTGTGTATTAGTCCTTCTCAAAAATTAACATACATGTATAACCATATATATTTTACTGTATAGATGGCGTCCCAGTGTTTGTTTATAAACCAAACAAACTACCCGTAGATCCACAAATATTGGTGTACTTCCATGGTGGTGGTTTTACTGTGGGATGTAGAGAGGGGTATGAAACAATGCTCAAAATAATTGCTCAGTGAGTTTATTGTTTTAATTTACTTTCAAGTACAGGGTGACCCCAATAATGCAACCCATGATTGAATATTGCATTGTCAAATTACACGTGGCATAAAATATTACAAGAACCAGAAGTAATACCCCAGAAGACGGGACGGTCATCACTTTGATGTTTCAAGTTATTCAAAAAAGCGTCACATTTTTGGGGTCACCATGTACCATACTTTACCTTCCATCGATTGATCTATTCATATTTTACTTTATATTTTGTCATTTGAAACATTTTGTTGCTTCTAATAAATGCATTTGACTTGTTTTTCGGTGACTTTTAAATCGAACTCTATCTTTTTAATGATCGTTTGCACGTGAAACTTTGCTATGGAGTAAGCCCACAATCGTTGAACCATGCTGAAATGTTTTACTTCTATTTCATTATTTTTATTTCTATAAAAAGATAAGCATACATAATTAGAACGTACATTCATGATTTGATGTGCCACACCATTGTTAAAAGCTGGAATACGTTGTTTCTGCATGCATTTTTGTGTACTTTTTTTTTAGAGAAGCTGGTTGCATCATTGTAAACGTTGAGTACCGCATGGGACCAGAGCATAAAACGCCTGCTTGGCTGGACGACTCCGTGGCAGCAACAAAGTGGGCTATGTCCAATAAAGATAACATAGGTACACATATATATGTAACATACTACGCTAGGTCTATTTGAGGCATCGGCCTCGTCCGAAAATAACAAGATATCTTTAACACCCGGGCTTTAACATCTTTATTTGAAATACGATTTTACATGGATGGGGAATACATTTTTAATGTTTTTGAGAATCAATACCTACAGAAATTGTATGTAACAATAACATAGACTTTAGGTATGGGATTGATCAGGTGAGAGTTCATGATAAATGTCTGAAAAAGAGGATGCTCGATTTATGTCTTAAAAAAATATCACATTTGAAACCCCTCTCTCCAGTGTGGATCTTAAAATATCCATTAAGGTCAGAGGCAGTAATAAATGTCTTTAAACAAACATCACATTTGAAATTTCCCTCTCCAGTGTGGATCTTAGAATGGTTCACAAGAGAAGATTTTTGGTTAAATCTCTTCAAACAAATGTCACATTTGAAATCCTTCTCTCAAGTATGAATTTTACAATGTTGGTGTAGTTGAGAGGCTGTGATAAATGTCTTCAAACAATCCTTACATTTGAAATTCCTCTCTCTACTATGGATCTAGGAATGTGTCGAAATGAGATTTTGCCCAAGTCGGTCTCTTTTACTTATTTTGATTTCTAATAATTCAAGATCAGATAAGTAAAAAATACCGACTTGGGCAAGGCTTAACCAAATTATGTATACAAGTTTGCTATTTATTTGTATTTCTTGGAATATGTAAAGTACACACACACACACAGTATATTCATATATGCAATTTGTAGCACGAAATAAATAGTTCTCAAATATATATATATATAAAAAAAGAGATTTTCGGTAAAAATTATTTTAACAAATATCACATTTAAAATCCATCTCTCCAGTATGGATCTTGGAATGTGACGAAAGGTGATATCTTCGATTAAATGTCTTCAAACAAATGTCACATTTAAATTTCCTCTCTCCAGTGTGAATTTTACAATGTTGGTTCAGCTGAGAGGTTGTGATAAATGTCTTCAAACAAACCCATTATTTGACATTCTTCTCTCCAGAATAGAGAGGCTGAATCAACATTGTAAAAAAGTGCCTTAAGCTAGGCACTTAAGAAACTGAGCAAACATAAACCTCAAAACGATTTTTTCTTTTTGCTGGCTGCCTTTTTGTTCTCTACTTTAAAATTATAGAAAATATTGCATAGTGACAAAAATGTGCTACCTCTAAAAAATTGGTGTGGATATCCGAAAAGTGACGATATCTGCAAGCTTCTTTAGAGGTAGCACATTTTTTGTCTATATGTACGAGTAACATTGTAATTGAAAGCGGACATAAAATGCCAAAAGGCGATTTGCCGCATGATTGTGTATTATGCCATGAAAAATATATCAATGAAATAGGAAACCTATTGTTTAAAAAAAGCACATATCCGATAAATGTTTTCAATTTTCTAAAATTTCAAAAAGAAAGTTTATAACTTTCAAATTGCAAATATAATTTATATCGATTGGCCATCTCGATCATCAATACCAAATGAAAGCTGAAACTGTGCAATAAAGCAGCAGTTTCAAATTCTTTGCTTTGGAGCAAGGATGAATGGTTAGTGCATCGTTAAAAATGAAGAATACAACTACATATAGACAGAATTTCGCTTTTATCAGGTATCCTCTACAAATGGATGACTATAACTGAGTCCCAAAGATGGCTTAGTTTTTGAAATATCACAAATTCAAACCCAAACAAGATCTTTTATATCCGCACTTTGCGCACATGGTATCCACTCCACTTTTTTTCGTATAGCGCAGTCTGTAAAGGGTGATATATGATTAGCGGAAAACTCAATTACACGTTTAAAATGAAATAACTAGGAGAAAAAATGTTCGAAGTAAAGGAAACACCATTATAGCATGTAAAGTTGATATTTAGAATATAATGGATTAGAAAAAATGAAATTATGTTTCATGTATTTATTATAGGGGGAACTGGTAAGAGTCAAGTTGGAGTATCAGGAGACAGCGCTGGGGGTTGTATAGCAGGTACTGTCGCATACCATCTCCCGGGAATTGACTATCAGGTACTGTCGCATACTATTTTCCGGGGATAATTGGCTATCAGGTAGTTATATCTGTCGCATACTATCTCCCGGGGATCGACTATCAGGTACATGTAATTATAACTGTCGCATACTATTTCCCGGGGATAATTGGCTATCAGGTAATTACATCTGTTGCATACCAACTCCCGGGGATTGACTATCAGGTAATTATAACTAACGCATACCATCTCCCGGGATTGACTATACGGTAATTATAACTGTTACATACCATCTCCCGGGGATTGTCTATCAGGTAATTATAACTGTTGCATACCATCTCCCGGGGATTGACTACAAAGTAATTATATTCTGTTGCATACCATCTCCCGGGGATTGACTATCAGGTAATTATAACTGTTGCATACCATCTCCCGGGGATTGACTACAAAGTAATTATATTCTGTTGCATATCATCTCCCGGGGATTGACTATCAGGTAATTATAACTGTTGCATACCATCTCCCGGGGATCGACTATCAGGTGCATGTAATTATATCTGTCGCATACTATCTCCCGGGGATTGACTATCAGGTACATGTAATTATAACTGTCGCATACTATTTCCCGGGGATAATTGGCTATCAGGTAATTATATCTGTTGCATAGCATCTCCCGGGAATTGACTATCAAGTAATTATATTTTTTGCATACCATCTACTAGGGATTGACTATCAAGTAATTATATCTGTCGCATACTATCTCCCGGGGATCGACTATCAGGTACATGTAATTATAAATGTCACATACTATTTCCCGGGAATAATTGGCTATCAGGGGGTCATTAACAGAACTTTCGCAAAGTTACGAATTCGCAAGTCAATTGTTAATTTTACGAATTTGGTAAATGTGCATTAACAGAACTTTCGTAAAGTTACGAACGATTCGCAAAGTTACGAAAAAATGACGTCACATGTGCTTTCGTTCGTAACTTTAATAGCACCTCAGACCCTTTCATAACTTTGCGAATGGCATATTTCTCATCCAATTCTTATGTAAGGCATACAGGTTGGCTAAAAGAAATTGTTCTTTATATGCATGCTAAGTTTCAAGCTAAAATATCCACCTATTCTTACATGATAAGCAAATATGTTCCTGAGCTGGGAATCTTTGAAATCGCGGAGACAGGTTTAATCACAGCGCGCAATGATATCAAATGACATCATATTTTTATTTGTGCTAAATAATGATATAAGATGACGTCACAATTTGAAATTCGTTTACGAACGATCAAACTTATGAATGACTTACGAAAGTGTTCTGTTAATGGCCGATTCGTAACTTTATGAATTCGTAAGTCATTCGTAACTTTTTAAATATTTACGAATTTCATAAAGTTACGAATTACGAATTCGTAACTTTGCGAAAGTTCTGTTAATGACCCCCAGGTTATTATAACTGTCGCATATCATCTACCGGGATTTACTCTAACTGCTGCATATCATCTCCCGGGGATTGTCTATCAGGTAATTATATATATAACTGTTACATGCCATCTCCTGGGGATTTACTATCAGGTAATTATCATTTGTTGCATACCATCTCCCGACGATCGATTTTCATTAACAGTTTCGTCCAGGGATATTAACTATCAGGTAACTGTTGGATGAACCAACTCTTGAGTAATTAAAGGGTTAAATAGAACATTGGCGTTGTTTAGTTTTATTTCACCCTGCACCTAGGCCTGAACTGGACACGTTCATGTATTTTTCGTTACAGATCCTGGTGTACCCACATCTGGATCATAGGTGCCTTCTACCTTCATATACGGAATATGCTGACGATCATCTCCTCACTATGAAACTTATCACATGGTAATTAGAAGTAATTACAGTACTTGCATCAGTGGGCATTTTAAGTGTTAATATCTATTTTTGCTATATTGACTGAGAGTTGAAATAAAGAACTATTTTGTTATTTCGATCAGATTTGCAGAGGTTTAGGAGTAAGATGATGGATGATGTGAATAATGAAATTAAACAATCTTTTGAGTTCACTTATAAGAAATTAAGTACGAGATGTGCTCAACAATTATAGGACAATATAAAGCGTCTGTTACTTATTGAGCACTCCTCGTATTAACGTAATGCGCTTTTAATATAGGTTCCATTCCAATTATATATCAGAAGAGCAGAAGACCGATCCAAAGTACAACGTCCTCCAGCAGACAGAGTTTAAGCATGTTCCCAGATGTTTGTTCATAGTCGCTGAATGTGATCCTTTAAGGGATGACAGTATTGGTACGTATTCGCTGAATGTGACCCTTTAAGAGTTGACAGTATAGTATGTATGAGCTGAATGTGACCCTTTAAGGGATGACTGTATGGTATGTATGAGCTATGTGTCCCTTTAAGAGATGACAGTATAGTATGTATGAGCTGAATGTGACCCTTTAAGGGACGACAGGATTGGTAGTTGGTACGTATGAGCTGAATGTGATCTATTAAGGGATGACAGTATTGGTACGTATTAGCTGAATGTGACCCTTTAAGATATGACAGTATAGGATGTATGAGCTGAATGTGACCCTTTAAGGGATCATAGTATAGACGTATGAGCTGAATGTGATCCTTTAAGATATGACAGTATAGTATGTATGAGCTGAATGTGACCCTTTAAGGGATCATAGTATAGACGTATGAACTGAATGTGACCCGTTAGGGAATGACAGTACTTTTACGTATGAGCTGAATGTGCTTCTAGGATGGCAGTACAAATAGGGGCGTGTGCGCTGAATGTGAGCCTTTAAGGGATGACAGTTTTGGTACGTAATACGCATGAGGTGAATGTAACAATTTAAGAAATGACAGTACTGCTAGGCCTACCTGTGAACTGAATTACTTCCCTATGTTCGAAGGGTGAGCGAATCATTTTTACTTTTCAAAGAATTTCATGTGAGTACAAAGACCTGCTAATCTGTTCTTGATTTCTAGAAAACATAATTATGCTTGGTGATTAAAACTTAAGACGTAGTTATTCATATTATGTGTTGTGTTGGAGTTCGCATTATTCTTCAGTTTTTAATATTTCTTCTGTGCTTCGTCTTTATAGAATACGCAAAGAAACTTGACGAAGCTGGAGTGCCTAATGAAACACTCAACCTGAAAGGAATACTCCATGGTTTCATACAAGCTAATGGTACGTACATACTGAACGTTTCAAACTTAGAGACACTAGTCTGTACATTATGTTTTTGTTCAAAAGTCGTAAATTCCGCTTTGATATATATTTATGGGGTTCTTGTTTCTTGATACAATGTTAGTGCTCTACAATGCCATCGGGGGAAAGGTGAAAATGTTGTTAGCCTAAATTGGACTAAAAATGCAATATTTAATAATGTGGGGCATGTCTAAATATCCTGTAAAATAATATAATGTCACGCAGGCCGGTAGCCAGGATTTATCAAGGGGGGGTCACTTTTTAAAAAATTTCGGGGGTTCACTTTAGACAACTTTGGCCAAAATCAATTGACAAGTGCTCAGAATAGTGGAAAACAGCATTATTTTGAAATAATATTTGGCCCCCCAGGCTAGGGCTTGATGTGTGTAGAATTTATTTCAAGTGTGCTGTTTAATCGAGATTTCCGTCTGTTAACCTATGGAGGGGTGTAACACTGAACGAAACAAAATGTAGCCTTTGTTATCTTGCAGGTGCCTATCCGGAAAATAGCAAGATTGCCTACGACAGAATAATTGAATACCTAAAGAAAATCAAACAGTAATATCCAACATGAATGTTTAGACATTACAGACATCTTTAACATTTAATCAGTTAATGAAATATCCACGAAAAGATTGCATCAAATCGGACGATTAGCGGTTAAGTTCAAGAGCACTGTTTTGAAGATTATGTCCCGTGTTGGGTATTTGTACCTACCTTGTGAGTGAGGTATTATAAATGGATGATTCTGTTGTCTTTTTGACTATTTGTTCTCATGTACATTTTTAAGACATTTGATAGTATGACACACGTTTGTGATAAAGATGTCGTGGAACTTCTGCCTACTAAGCTCGTGAAATAAGGAAAGTTAAAAAAATCGTACCTTCGAGGTTCCGACATTTTGTTACCGTAATCGAGTACCAGTGTAATAAACGTGTTACACTGTCAGTCAGTATACTTTTCAGAGTTTAGATAAATCAATATTTACCATACACTTCTAATTCTATTAGCGAACATCCTTTGCCCCCAGCAAGTTTTTAACATATTCCAGATTTCCTCTTTGTACCATTTATTGTATATTTCTTGTTATTTTCATGTAATTAATTTGCCGACAATGGTAGGCAAACATCCTGTATTAATTGTAAATAATGTAATATTTTAATGAAATAAACAGAAATTAAAAAGTAATGATCGTATTACCAATGTTTTCAGAATATTTCGATGAATAAATAATTGATTAGGAAGTCCAGAAACATTGTCAACAATGATATTTAGCAAAAAGGTTGGCACTAGGAAGTACTAAACAATTAGCTAGTGGATTTGGGTGATACAGTAATTTCGAGCGAAATAGTCTAAAAAAATGAATTATCAATTCCCAACTTTTCAGCGTAAGGCAGCTTTTCCATTTCACTCCTCCTGAAACACCAATTTTGGGGTTTGGGTAAAAAGCTACAATATTTTCTATATTTTAGGGGGGAATACATTACATCATGGTATATGTGTAATGCAAAATATGACTGGTTTAGCTCTACTTGTTGCAATGGTAACCACTTCTTTAATTCGAAAATGCCCCAAAATGGCCATTTTCACATATTTGGAATGCTGCAAAGGACGATTCTCGGTTTGGAGAATAGTCTCCTGGGCTAATAATTTTTTTCATGAAAAATATAGAAATATTACCCAAATTAAACTATGAATATTCAAAAGAGGACATTTAAATCTACAAGATGTAAAAATAACAAATTGGTCTGAAGCAGGGATCACAACGAGAAACACTATATAATAAACATCAATACGACGAGATAATAGATTTATTATCCAAATTGAATAATAACTAATAAGATCAGTTACTGTTGAATAACATTCTGCCCGGGATTTGTTATTAATCATAAAGAAATGTCTTATCCGAACAGCTTACATGTACGTTTTATCCGTTGCGGCCATTAACAATTTTACATATCTAATTAGCTAAGTAAATAAACATGCGTCGACACAGTCGCAGTTGACTATGAAAAGCTCAATCATCAATCTTATTTTTATTTTCTTGATTTAAAGATGTATTATGTTTAAAAAAGAAAATGTTTGATTTTTAAGTTCAACCTTTAATTCTTATTATCAAGAACGCGCATGCAAATTCGCCAACCATGTACATTGTTTGCAGTCTGAGCAATTTAATGTAAATCATTGTATATTTTTCGATATACTGTAATACTATTCATTATTTGTAAAATTGAACCGAATATAATCTAAAATTAATCAGCTTTAAATACATTATATGTCATAAAAGTTGCCTTAAAACAATACAATTCGTGCGTTTGTAAATGCTCTAAAGCCCCGCTAGTATATGAACGAATCCTAAATAGAAATGAGTAAAATTCGTTCCCATTAGTGTGTACACGTTCTACACCGAGACTTCTCCTTTAAATCAAATCAGTCCACTAGTATGAGTTAAGAATGGACAGAGGGACGGATGGCTTCATTCAATGGGATAATTAAGATATTTCAAAACCAGTGTCATTCTTCTATGCATACATCACTCCAATCATAACATGAAACAAGCTGTTCATTTTAAAACTATTCTTTACGAATCTATGATAAGTGTATAATGTTCAATCATACAAATCGCAGTCAGTGATTGTTCTCCACACTCACCCCTCCCCCTTCCTGACATGAACTATTTTGTAAAACCATTGACAGTGTGGAAAGGATTTTTACACTCGAGTGTCAAGGGGGGGGGGGGGGCAGTTACAGAAATATACAAGGCGATGGTTCAAATTGGACAATTTTCAAAACTGCTCAACATGGTGAAAACTTCACGTTTTTAAAGAATGCTTGCCCGGCGAGTGGTTTGCTCTGGATTGCGAGAGAACAAAAACTTTGAGTTAGGATTTTTCCTAATACTATCTATACTAAACAACTTTTTAAACCGTCTCTGACTACATATCATGCCAATTAATACCATTATTGTGTAGACAGGATTAAATATGATATCTATGGAATTATAATTTAATGAACTCAATAGTCTAAATGATAATAACTTCATAATTTAGTCTTGGCTGACGTAGTCTTGCACCATCAGAGTTGGATTGCAAACACCTCCCTAAATCAAATATTTAAAATTTACAAATTTACTAGTGTACGGGGTGGGGAAACAAGTCTCCATCCAACCACTAAAGTTTAAAAGGAAGACTATAGTGTCCCGTGAATTCATTATAATTATCTTAGACAATAGTGAAGCGGTACAATCATTGGAGTGTTAATTAATCGGAATGCAAGTTTGATTTAAAATAACTCCTTTGGATCAAATATTTAAATTCTACTAGAATGCGGGGAGTGGAAACAAGTCTCCATTCAAGCACTAAATATCAAAGGAAAGATTTCAGTACCCATTAACTTCACTCCCGGACTTTACTATTCACCACCACCTCTCCCCCTTCCCCGGGCCCTTCCCCAAGTATCCCTTATGACCCCAGAATGTTCGTTTCTGTGCCCCCCCCCCGCCTGTCCATGGCCAGTAAGTAATCTATGTGTATATATCTGTATAAAACCAGATGCAGGCATAGACATTGACAAGGTGAGGGGATTTAAATATAAAAATAGTCTTGTTTTTGGCTCCGACTTATATATTTTGGCACTGTTTAACGAAGCCGGTTTAAGGAATGAGAGGCAGAAATAATTCCTAGAAATAAGATGGCCTCATCGCGATAGCCGCGACCCCTTTGTCTTTATCCTTCCACAATCGGCAGATAAGAGTGGCTCTGGCATACCAGAATGAGATGGCCTGTCTTTACCGTAATCAAGATATGGTACCTAACCGCAGTTATTTTGGTTTTATAACGGGGATATTGCTCGAGCTTGAATAACAAATAAAAGGCATGTTCTTATTTCTGTATTCTGACCTTTGATTGTGTATTAAGTTGAGCTGCACGCCAAACGTTAAGATTGTTAAAACGCTGAAAATAAAACTTTATTCCTCTCAATTTACATAAAAATGAAACAGATTAGATTCGAATCTCAGTCACACCAGCACCACTGGTCAAAGGAAGTACAATTATCTATATTAATCAAATGTCTGAGAATTTGATAACTGTCTGGGATCCAATGTTAATTTTATTGAAGCAAACTAAGAAAAGATGAATTTTAAACGTTTAGAGGGAAAAGTCAAATATGCATTGTAACCCTAAAAATAATTCATTAAAGTGTCGTACACATTTTATAACATTTATATAAATAAAACAAATAAAGCACAACCCTAATGCCCTATAATGAATTCATATCGGCGCTAAACGGCCCTTGCAATAAAAACGCATCGAAGCAGGGAATGCTTGGCAAATTCTTCCGAGACTGACTTTTGTTATTTCAAAATTGAAATATGCCTAATTCCTATGAACACGCGATCTTTTTCCCTGGGTTTTACTCTATTTTAGATTTACTAGAAAAAATGTTTATATGATGATTGCGTTTGCTTCTCACGAGTTCATTGAAACGTTCAGTCGTAAAACTTTAGAGATCAAAAGACTAATTAGGCACCTGATTGCGAAAGTTTGATTGCATTTCGATCGCCGGGATTTTACAAACGTATTGTTTAAGTAGCGATCGTGTTCTTGGGATCTTGATAACTTCCTATTTTAAGTTTTGGGTTGAAAGCAATGAGTATGTCGGACTTTCTCAAGTCCACATAATGAAACAATATCCCTTTATATTAGTCCAATCGGAATTTGCATAAACATACCAGTTTTATATTGCAAAAAGAACTGTAATTAATAGCCTACATAAAAGCATCATGATAAATAAAACATTAAAGCAAATGTAAAGCCTATTGTTATCGCACCCATCGCACCCCCCCCCCCCTCCTGGCTACGCCTATGGATATTTTGGCAACTTTCACGTTTACCCCGCCCCCTAATAATTCTTGCGCCCCCTCTAAATATCAGACCCGTCAGGCGTTGAGGCATGGATCAGGATACCCTGACTCCCAAGCTGTGCGACTTCTGGCAACCGCTACACCTATATTCCCGGGGAAAACGCTTTTAGAAAAATTGTCAAATATGGTTGTGTGTGGGCAAACACGGAGGAGGAGGAGAGGGGTGCGTGCATTGTGTGCGACCCTTCATCAGTTGTGTACCTTATTTTTTGTATGAATTTCTTCCGAATAGTTATGCTAGAGGGGTTCTGATATTTATTTCTGTTTTCAAATGAAATAATTTCACCCTTGCCCGACTGACTTGTAGATAATGCACGAATCAAATAGCATGGAGATCAGATAATCAGATTGATTCGTATTTTCGCAATCTGATGAATTAACTTATTGTTTTCTCTGATTAAAAGGCAGTTTGAAGCTACTTTTACAGGATTTGTAAATTCACAATCAGACTAGCTTATTTTAATATTTAGTCAGTGCAAGAGGAGGGGACTATAATGTAGAAAATTGTTTTGGTTTCGACACTAACTGAATAATTTATCACAATTGTTAAATAAGCAAACAGAAACAGGTTTAAAAATGAGAATAGAGGCAAAAAAGTCTATACATAAAATGTAATTAAAACCCGGGAATTAAAAGCAATTTTAGACTGTTAGATGATCTCTTCTGTAATCAAGGTGATGTTGGTACACTTCCGCCGTTAGAAAAACAAAGACTAAGACAAAGACTATATAGCAATTAATCCTTTTGTAATCATTAAATGTTAGATTCTTATTATTTTGTTGGACAATGTTCAGACTTCTGACCAAGATTAAATCATTTATGTTTGTATTTAAAAATAGTATTTCAATCAGACAGACGTTCTAATGAGTTAGAAAAATACATTTGTCCATTTCCTCTCAAGAAGTTTTCAAAGGTAATCAAGTCGATTTGTTTGAGTGTTTAGCATTGTTTTTCATAACTTGACGCTTCCATGAACAGAATGACTTTGAAATGAGTTTTTATAATTTTAGCTTTTATACGGACATGCTTATTGTATATTTC